ATTTATAACATTTAAATACAATTATTATACATTTTGATAATAATTAAATAATTTAATTATATTCATATAATCATATTCATATACGATTATTAAATTAATTTTTAATTACATTATTTTTTTATATAATTCTTTAATTATTTTTTTTACATATACTTCTTTAATTATTTATAATTATGTAAAATAATTTTTAATTATTAGAATTGTATAATTTTTTAAATATTTAATTAAAATTGTCTAATTTAAATAATAATAATAATATTTTTTACAAGTATTCTAAGTGAATTCGCAGTTCAAATACGAGTCTACGAAGAATTTAAGATCATGTAGGATAAAATAAAACAGTAAAAAACAAGCTGAAGGGTTGGTATTGTTTATACAAATATTATTGGATTTTTAACAGATTCCTGCTTGATTCCGATTGGATTTCGAATTACACATTTCCACTAGCAATGCATTAACATTACGATATTTTGACTAGTGAGAAATGAATTGCATGCTGTGATGCTGTGCTGGCCGCTGGATGTGAGACGTGTTTTTTATTGTGTGAGTGGACATGTTGAAGGTCACGGAGAGGATGCTGGGAAGGGCATCCCCAGCATCCCCCAGCAGAAGGAAATCCCGAGCCCACTGATGCTGCTTAAGACGGATCCACGTGACTGAAGAGCTCAGCTGAACACATGAGCAAGAGCCTGTAGGTTTGATTCTGGCACTGCTGGGGACATAACAGCAGACAACCACAACATATCAAAATTATTGCTAGAGACAATTTAGTAGTGGATATTGGTAGGGACATGTCATAGCATCTCTACTAAACTCTACAGCCTTGACATTTAATCACAGAAATAGCATTTGAGACTTTCCACATGTTCATACTGCAGCGTTCTCATCAATGCATTAGTACAAAAAGCCTTCGTGATGTTTCATTATCAGTATTTTTGTTTATAAAACCCGTGTAAAATGTGCTGTAGACTTTAGTCAGAGTCATTTCTTCACAGGAATGAAGTGAGAAACTGAAGTAGCGCCTTTAATGGATTTCTACTGTTGTTTAACAGCATTAAAAACTCCATAAAACAGTTCTGAAAGCTGAAAATTATGTGATCTATAAAGTGCAAGTCATGCATGTCTAAACAGAGTCCAGATTAATGTTTTCGTTCATGTCTGATTGAACATTTTATTTCAGTGTAATCGGCTATAATCACACGATTGTGTAATGCCTATATAATCTAATGATTATACAGATTAACAGTCTCAAATCTATGGAATAAACCGTGTTTGAAGAGTAAAATCAGAGTAAAATGTCCGGGTTCACTGCTTGTACCACACAGACATGATATCAGTGTCTTGGTTTGGAGTGAGTTTAGGTAAAGCCTGATTTAATTACACTAATTAATCTGATTACTGGAGGACTAACTATCAACAAATGCACTGGAATATATCAAATGAACTGCTTTCCTTCTGGAAAACAACCCATATTTATCTAGAAGGGTTATCCTAATAGATATGATGCTATTTAAATGTCATTATTATACATTTAATGTCATCTTTCTCTTTATTTTTTACACTAGATTTCAAAATTTGTATGGATTGATGTTTGTGTAACTAAACACTTCATAACATTTAAGAAATGACCGATTGTGTAAAAGCCCAGAAAAATTCTGGCTCCGAGACTTGGAGTATAATTTGAGATATTGATCAGATCTTTCCCAGCAGGTTAGAGAGGATGTGAAATGCTCTTTTAGACAAAGCTGAAGTCACATGACAGGAAGTCGTGCTGATTGAGAAGGTTGTGTTGGTGTGTGCGATGTTGTGGTTCAAACCTCATGAACTAATCACAGACATATGGACATCACAGATGGTGTGTGTGTGTGTGGCGCTTTACAATTTATGAGGTGTTGCCCCCAAAAACTTTACAGCAACACACACTCATAGGAAAGAATACCCTAATTGTTTCTCCTATAGACCACAATGAGATTAAACAAAGACTTGGATGGAGACTTTTGCTACTAGTCAAAAGTTTGGGGTTGGTAAGGTTTTTAAATGTTTTGGAAAGAAGTCAGCTTATCAGAACTGCATTTATTTGATCGAAAATACAGTAAAAATTGTGAAATATTATTACAATTTAAAATATCTGTTTTCTATGTGAATATCAGTTAAAATGTAATTTATTTCTGTGATCAAAGATGTATTTTCAGCATCATTACTCCAGTCTTCAGTGTCACATGATCTTCAGAAATCATTCTTATATGCTGATTTGCTGCTCAGGAAACATTTCTGATTATTATCAATGTTGAAAACAGTTGTGCTGCTTCATATTTTTGTGGAAACCGTGATACATTTGATTTTTTGTGATTGTTTGATGAATAGAAAGTTCAAAAGAACAGCATTTATTTGAAATAGAAATCTTTTGTAACACTGTAAATGTCTTTACTGTCACTTTTGATCAATTTAATGCATCCTTGCTGAATAAAAGTATTGTTTTTGCAAAACCTAACAAAAACAACTTAACAAAAAACGTACAGAACCTAACAGTTTGAACAGTAATATGTGCAGATTACTTATTTAAAGTGTTACACAACCATTCAAAAGTTTGGGGTAAATAATAAAAAAAAAATATATAAAATAATTTTTTTTTACCATTTAATTTTTTTTTTCTATTTGAATACATAAAATGTAATTTATTTCTGTGATCAAATCTGAATTTTCAGTATCATTACTCCAGTCTTCAGTGTCACATGATCCTTCAGAAATCATTCTGATAAAATGATTCTGATTATTATCAATGTTGAAAACAGTTGTGCTGCTTCAGATTTGAGTGGAAATATATTCTTTGATGAATGAATGATCAATTCAATGCATCCATGCTGAATAAAAGTATTGATTTCAGATCTCAACTATAGTCTCCCAAGTTAAGAACGAGTCGCCAACGGCTAGCTAAATAAACACACACACAGAATGACATGACACGAGTGTAATGTTTAAAAGCATTTAATGACATTGCACATATTTAACAGGGCAGGGAGGTTAAAGTCTACAGGTGCAGTTTCATACATCTGAGCGCCGGCCGGAGGATCTGTAGCGCTCAGGACGCCCGACATCGCCAGGATTTCATTCCTATTATGATGCTTTTGATTGTGCAGTAGATGAAAATCTCATTACAATAGATACAGTGACGGAGGGGATGCGCACTATGTATCAGAGCAGGAGAGCGGGATGAAGCCCAAACGAGAAAACAAAGAGTAAAAAGAGAATGCTCAGTGCTATAGCCCACAAGCAAGTAACCGTATTCATCATTTTTTTTGTTCTTTTTGTACTTTTTTTTTTTAAGCTGGAGTAACGTTACCTGTTTACCAGTAAATGTTCCACTGTTCACTTAACATTGATGCTTTAACGTGTTTATAATACATCTAATTTTTATACTCTTTTGTACTAGAATTATTTGAAACATATATTATAATAAAACCCAAGAGAAATGACAATCAAACAAAAGAACAAGAAAAAAAAGCATGACGTCAAATGATTCAGGTTACTAGTTCTCTGTATATAGCAAACGCTCTTACAGCTCGTGAAAGCGTTTGGTACGAGCCACCTCGATTTGATCAAATTACACAAGTCTACCAGGCCTTCAAGCCAATGTTAATCTACGTTCATATTAGTTTATCAGCTTATAGTTGTTAAAAGGCAAATCTGACGTTAAAGTGGAATTGTATCGGTTTAATGGAATCGTTTCGAAGCATCACTGTCAACGAAGAGAGACTCGGCGAATCTCTGAGACAGCCTCATAAAAATTGAGGAAATGTTTTAAATATCCAGACACCCCTCAATGACACACAGTTACAAAAAACGAGAGATAGCAATAGTCAGAATTCGAAATCAACCATGATAGAAACGGAAGAGCGTAAAAAAAACGGCATTCGAATCGCCGACGTTCCCGAATCGCGACACACTCTTGATTTTCCTTGCGTTTTGTACAACTTTGGACCCAATTCGCGGGCTTTCAGGCACAGATTGTGGCGTCTTTATGAGCTTTGCATGCTGGGATATCACTGGAGGAGGTGGGCGGACACAAACGGAAAGTCGTAAAAGAATCGAGGGAATGAGCGAATCGAATGTTTCGGTTGTCTACTGCTTCTTCTTGCTGAAGAGACTGAAGCGCTTCTCCTTGTCCTTCTCGCGCTTGCCGGGGCTGGATTCGGTCGTCAGGGTGACGGTTGCCGGGAGCGTGTGGGCGCGGCTGGAGGCGGGGGTGCTCTGGTTGCTAGGCGTGATCTCTGACTTCTCAGAGGACGAGGAGCCGCTGCCGGCGTTCTGAATGGCCTGGATCCATGTGTTCATCTCCTCCTGCAAACATCACACACACACACACACACACAAACACACACACACAGTCACTAATACATCTGTACTGTATATACACATGTTGTGCAGAAATTCACTTATTGATATTTGCCCCACATACACTGGAAAAAAGTGTGTAGAAACAATTTTCACTCAAAGGCAAGTAACACATTGAATTAAACATGAAATTTTGAAGCAGAAAAAACAAAATAGTATTTTCTTGTAATATTTGTTTTATTTACAACTTCTAATATTATTATAATTTTTTTTTTTTTTTTTTTTACAGTTGAATTGATTTTCTGGGGCATCTTTATCGAGGACTTTTTCCTCAAGCCATATAATATAGCATATACCATATAGCATTTTTGTCAAATACTGAAATAAATTCTAAATCTGAACAGATGTAATTCTAAGTATTATTAAGTTATTTTTAAGTTTATAATATTATTCAATATTTTGAATTACTTTTTGTTTTATATTTACAATATTTTAGTTTAAGTTTCAGTCATTTTGTAATGTGATTTTGTAATATTTATTAATTTTTTAATATTTCTATTCTTATATATTTATTCTTTATACCTTATTACTTTATTTCAGTTTAGCTTTTAGTAATTTTGCAATGTAATAATGGCAGTTTTTTTGTATATTTCTATATATTTTTATTGTTATTTTTAGTTAATTCTATTTATTTTAGTTTAACTTTAAATAATTTTGTATTGTGATCTTGCCATTTCATTTATATATATATTTATTTTATTCAATTTAATTGATCAATTTCACTTTTAATTTGAGAAATTCTATCTATCTATCTATCTATCTATCTATCTATCTATCTATCTATCTATCTATCTATCTATCAGTTGCTGCAAAGTGCAGATGAATTACATATTTGATTATAAAATCTAATAATGTGAAGTTAATGGATTGAGGGTTGAATTGAACTAAAAACCTATAATGAATTCATGAATTCAGGTATCAGAAGTGTTCACTCTTGTTTTTTTTTTAGTCTGTTTTGTCCTATGAAGGGGTCCAGTTTCTCATGTACCACAAGAGGGCGCCGCTAAACAACGTGTGCAAAAATAAACCATAAACTCCCATCATTAGTTTTTGGAGTAATATTGCTGGATTTATGATGAAGTTATTATGATAAAAGCAGACTTACATCATCTTTGGCTTGGAAGAGATACTCATTTCCATCAGTAACTCTGTGAGGAGGAACAAGAGCTTCAGTCACAGCAGAACAACTTCATTGAGATAGCAATCGACTCACTCCACCGCTCTGAACTCCTCACCTGAGCTTGAAGACGTGCTTCTTCTTCTTGTAGTCGATGGCCACCTCGCAGACGGCATCCTTCAGGCTGATGGGGATCTCGCTGTGGTACGGGACGCCCTGCGCCGCGCTCTTGTTGTCTTTGTAGAAGCCCATCTCGTGGTTATTGATGACGCAGTACACGTTGTGCCAGGATCTGACGATACACACACACACACACACACACACACACACACACACACAGCAGTTTACGCAGGAGCCTCTGGATTTGTTTGTCATTTTAATGAAGACGCTTCATCAATCGCAGTGGAGAAATGAATCCAGATGCTCCTGTCTATCTATCTATCTATCTATCTATCTATCTATCTATCTATCTATCTATCTATCTATCTATCAGTTGCTGCAAAGTGCAGATGAATTACATATTTGATTATAAAATCTAATAATGTGAAGTTAATGGATTGAGGGTTGAATTGAACTAAAAACCTATAATGAATTCATGAATTCAGGTATCAGAAGTGTTCACTCTTGTTTTTTTTTTAGTCTGTTTTGTCCTATGAAGGGGTCCAGTTTCTCATGTACCACAAGAGGGCGCCGCTAAACAACGTGTGCAAAAATAAACCATAAACTCCCATCATTAGTTTTTGGAGTAATATTGCTGGATTTATGATGAAGTTATTATGATAAAAGCAGACTTACATCATCTTTGGCTTGGAAGAGATACTCATTTCCATCAGTAACTCTGTGAGGAGGAACAAGAGCTTCAGTCACAGCAGAACAACTTCATTGAGATAGCAATCGACTCACTCCACCGCTCTGAACTCCTCACCTGAGCTTGAAGACGTGCTTCTTCTTCTTGTAGTCGATGGCCACCTCGCAGACGGCATCCTTCAGGCTGATGGGGATCTCGCTGTGGTACGGGACGCCCTGCGCCGCGCTCTTGTTGTCTTTGTAGAAGCCCATCTCGTGGTTATTGATGACGCAGTACACGTTGTGCCAGGATCTGACGAGACACACACACACACACACACAGCAGTTTACGCAGGAGCCTCTGGATTTGTTTGTCATTTTAATGAAGACGCTTCATCAATCGCAGCGGAGAAATGAATCCAGATGCTCCTGCGTAAACTCTGCGATGATTCCTGAGAATTCTATGATGGCATTTCCTCAAGACGAATTCTTTTAAAAACACAGATTCATCTCGATTTGCTGCTTGATTTCAGATTTTCTCAAACTCTGAGATGAAGGTTATGTCTATATTAGATTTGCTTATTTCCAGATGTTCAGGGAAAGTATTATCAGCGAGGTTCAAAATATATAATAATAATGCATGGCTAAACAGTATGAAGGAGTCTCACTGATTTAAGCTATCTAAATCTTTATTATCAATGTTGAAAACAGTTGTGCTGCTTCATATTTTTGTGGAAACTGTGATATATTTAATTTTTCTGGATTCTTTGATGAATAAAGTTCAAAAGAACAGCATTTATTTGAAATAGAAATCGATTGTAACCTAATAAATGTTTTTACTGTCACTTTTGATGATTAAAAGTAAAAAAAAAAACACTTTTGAACGTCAGTGTAATTTTCGTTTTTAATTTTTTTTTTTTAAATATAGAATTAGTTTTTATTTTTGTATTGTCCATTTTCATTTTCAAGTTCCAAGTTTAGGCATTTTGTTCTGTTTGTGTGTTTTTGTGTGTGAAATATTTATGTAATTTTTACTAATTTTATTTCAGTTTTAGTTATTTTAGTACATCAAGTTAAACTAAATAAATTAAAATGAGAAATGTTGCTTGAGAAATTATTAATTTTATTTTAGTTCATGTTTATTTTATTTCAGGTTACAATTTTTTATGGTTTTAGTAACAGTTTTTTAAATATTTTGTTTTATTTTTTTTTATTTTGTATTTTCCATTTTTATTTTATTTTGAGTTAAAGTTTTAGCAATTCTGTTGTGTGTATATAAACAATAACTAATACTTTTGAATAGTTTTTAAATAGCATCTTCTTGTAAAACCTACACCAATCTTTTATTTAATTTAATTTTTAGTTTAATTTACAACTAAAATTTACAAAATCCTCTTTTACAGTGTAATTAATTTTTGAGAGCATCTTCATGAAAGCAATTATTTCTCATATAAAAACAATATAAAGCCATATACATGTGTCACGTATTGTGTTAATTAAGTTAATGTCAGTTATTTTTAATATTCTGAATTAGTTTTTATTTTTGCATTTTCTGTTTTCATTTAGATTTTAGTTTTTTGTCATATTTTGCTATCTAGGTTTTATTCATTTTATTTCAGTTTTAGTTTTAGTCATTTTGGTGCATCAAGTTAAACTAAATGAAAACGAGAAATGCTGAATTTTTTTTATTTTTTTTTATGTTATTTTATTTCAAGTAATGAAAACGTTTGACTTCTCTATAACTGTGATCATCATACCTGCTGGAGGCTTTCTTGTTGTGGCCCTCCCACTCGTGTTTGCGGTGCAGGAATCCCTCCAGCTGCGCAGACGCCGTCTCCTGACCCTTCGCCGGCAGCGTGGCTGACTGACTGCCTCTGCCCCGTCTGTCTGCGCTCGGAGACGGGATGGGACTCGGCTCCTTCGAGCTCCTCTCAGCCACTCCGTTCATCTCGCCCTCCACTCCATCCTGCCAACACACCATCAGCCATCAGTCACTGAGCTGCAGCTTACAAACCTACAGAGTCAGTCACACGCCATGAATTCTGAAAGAGTCGTTTCAGAAATCGTTAGCAGGAAAACAGAAACACTGGCTGATTCAGAGATGAGACTCATTCAAATAAAGTCAACATGAACTCAATATTAAATCTATTTACACTGCAAAAACAGATTCCAGTAGAAATATGGAAAAATTCTTAAATCAACATACATTTTCTATAGAAGAAAAAAGATTTTAAGTCTGAAAAATATATTAAAATTAAGCGAGTTTACGCTAAAAACAAGAAAAAATATCTGCCAATGGAGTAAAAATAAATAAATGTTTCCCTTTGAATTAAGTAGATTTTTCACTAAATTTTGATCAAATTTTCAGAAAACAACACAACAATATTTTATATACCATTTATATATATTTGTATATATTCTGATTAGCATCAAACAAATACATATCATTTATTAATATTATAATACACTTATATTTCTTCTTGTTTTAAGCATAAAGTCACTAAATTTTTCAAAAAATATAAAAACAAAAAACGTATTATTTTACTAAAAAATCATTTAATTAAATACATTTGTATATATTTAGCTTAGTATTAAACTAATGTGAACACATCATTTATTAATATTATAATACACCTATACACTATTATATTCAGAAATATTAAATACATTTAATATATTAAGATTAGTTAAAAACTAATAAAAAATACAAAAAAATAAAATGTATTGAGTCACTTCATTTTGATCAATTGTTCAGAAAACAAGACTTAACATCTTTATTTTGCATCTCAAGTAAATATATCTTGATTTAAGAATGTTTTGAAATCTGTAGTGCAAAACAAGACAAAAACAAACACATTGTTAAGAATTCTTATATCTTTTTTGGCTATTGGATATTGTTATTAATGTCAGATAATGCATCATACTGCAGAATTAGCAAGGTTTTAAATGCATTTCATGTTGACTTTAAAGGTAAAAAGATCATGCAAGATGCAAAACTATCGATCTACAGTCACCGCAGAATTTTTTTTTATTTTGTATTTTCCATTTTTATTTTATTTTGAGTTAAAGTTTTAGCAATTCTGTTGTGTGTATATAAACAATAACTAATACTTTTGAATAGTTTTTAAATAGCACCTTCTTGTAAAACCTACACCAATCTTTTATTTAATTTAATTTTTAGTTTAATTTACAACTAAAATTTACAAAATCCTCTTTTACAGTGTAATTAATTTTTGAGAGCATCTTCATGAAAGCAATTATTTCTCATATAAAAACAATATAAAGCCATATACATGTGTCACGTATTGTGTTAATTAAGTTAATGTCAGTTATTTTTAATATTCTGAATTAGTTTTTATTTTTGCATTTTCTGTTTTCATTTAGATTTTAGTTTTTTGTCATATTTTGCTATCTAGGTTTTATTCATTTTATTTCAGTTTTAGTTTTAGTCATTTTGGTGCATCAAGTTAAACTAAATGAAAACGAGAAATGCTGAATTTTTTTTATTTTTTTTATGTTATTTTATTTCAAGTAATGAAAACGTTTGACTTCTCTATAACTGTGATCATCATACCTGCTGGAGGCTTTCTTGTTGTGGCCCTCCCACTCGTGTTTGCGGTGCAGGAATCCCTCCAGCTGCGCAGACGCCGTCTCCTGACCCTTCGCCGGCAGCGTGGCTGACTGACTGCCTCTGCCCCGTCTGTCTGCGCTCGGAGACGGGATGGGACTCGGCTCCTTCGAGCTCCTCTCAGCCACCCCGTTCATCTCGCCCTCCACTCCATCCTGCCAACACACCATCAGCCATCAGTCACTGAGCTGCAGCTTACAAACCTACAGAGTCAGTCACACGCCATGAATTCTGAAAGAGTCGTTTCAGAAATCGTTAGCAGGAAAACAGAAACACTGGCTGATTCAGAGATGAGACTCATTCAAATAAAGTCAACATGAACTCAATATTAAATCTATTTACACTGCAAAAACAGATTCCAGTAGAAATATGGAAAAATTCTTAAATCAACATACATTTTCTATAGAAGAAAAAAGATTTTAAGTCTGAAAAATATATTAAAATTAAGCGAGTTTACGCTAAAAACAAGAAAAAATATCTGCCAATGGAGTAAAAATAAATAAATGTTTCCCTTTGAATTAAGTAGATTTTTCACTAAATTTTGATCAAATTTTCAGAAAACAACACAACAATATTTTATATACCATTTATATATATTTGTATATATTCTGATTAGCATCAAACAAATACATATCATTTATTAATATTATAATACACTTATATTTCTTCTTGTTTTAAGCATAAAGTCACTAAATTTTTCAAAAAATATAAAAACAAAAAACGTATTATTTTACTAAAAAATCATTTAATTAAATACATTTGTATATATTTAGCTTAGTATTAAACTAATGTGAACACATCATTTATTAATATTATAATACACCTATACACTATTATATTCAGAAATATTAAATACATTTAATATATTAAGATTAGTTAAAAACTAATAAAAAATACAAAAAAATAAAATGTATTGAGTCACTTCATTTTGATCAATTGTTCAGAAAACAAGACTTAACATCTTTATTTTGCATCTCAAGTAAATATATCTTGATTTAAGAATGTTTTGAAATCTGTAGTGCAAAACAAGACAAAAACAAACACATTGTTAAGAATTCTTATATCTTTTTTGGCTATTGGATATTGTTATTAATGTCAGATAATGCATCATACTGCAGAATTAGCAAGGTTTTAAATGCATTTCATGTTGACTTTAAAGGTAAAAAGATCATGCAAGATGCAAAACTATCGATCTACAGTCACCGCAGAAGGCCGGGAAACATCCTAGATGTCTGAAACTCAATCAGTTCACTCGTATACTGATTGAAAAACATCATGCTTAAAGCGACAGCACACAGAGTTCACTCCAGATGTGTTACTGTACCGCAAAACCCGTCTGACGGGACCGTCCTGCTCCGCTAAAACGGCTTTCAGGGACTCAAACACAACCTCTTTAGTCCAGCTTTACTAAGATCTGTGCTTAAAAACCTTCAAAGCTCTCATAAGGAGCCAGTGAAGCCTGATAAAGGAAGGGTTAGATGCATTTAAACACAGACGCAGCGATAATCACGTCACAGGACATACAACATACAAACTGTGGAGAAAGATCAGTTGATTTATTGTTCGTGAACTAGTGGATACCAACAGAGATACTGGAAGTACATGACAACAGACCCGTCATACAGTCTTTGCAGATCATTTTACGGTAAATCACCTCAAACGAACACAAAAAATCGACTCCACTGGACGTTTTTGGACTCTAAACACAGAACAACAGGTTTGAGTTTCATAAGCTCACATCACAAACACAACAAACGAAAGCGGAACCAAGCTATCAAAATCATGGCAGATCATTTGCACAGGTTTAAATATCAAAACTAAAACTTAAAGCAATGCTCTCGGTTCATTTTGACTCACATCACACACACACTGTCCATTAAAACTGAAAATAATATCAAGAGGAGGAAGCATTTTTTTTTTTTAGAAAAATTCATCTTATGCCGTTTTGCTTCTCAAGTAAATGTATCTTGATTTAAGGATGTTTAGACATTTGTAACTGAAAACAAGACAAAAATACTCAGGAAGATTTTTGCATTTTATATGTTCCTGTTTTTCTAATGCATAATCAGAAGTTGATCCTCTAAAAAGAAGTTCCACCTCAAAAAAGACAATTTAGACACTTTAGACATTAAATAACACTCATTTTTTGTATGGAGGCATTCATTTAAGTGCTTTAACGGCTCCATATTTCCCATAGGCTTCCATCGTGCTTTACTGAGGTTTCTGCTCGTTTAAACTAGTAATGAACCGGAACATTTCATCATCGTTACTCATTTATCTGTTGGTATCTTTTTAAGGCACATCATGTCCACAGAACACACCATTGCCATTAGCCTTCAGAAAGTCCACCGAGAACCTCCAACGATTCTGACTGTCGTTAATGAACAGCTGACAAACACGTGTGTATCACGTCAGCTGGGGTCATCAGAGAGCATTATGGGAACTCTCAGTGTCCCTGACCGGTGGTTCGTGGTGTCTGCTGACTGCTAGTGTATTGTGGGTAGGTACAGGAGCGGTAACTAACCCGTGGAGAGTCCTGGTCTGATGGTAGTCCGTTCTGGGCAATCTGCTCTCCTTCTCTGTGAACACACACGCACACGCAC